AGCAGGTAACCAAAAAAAGAAAAAAAACTCACAGCCATTAAGTCGGTTCTGACTCATGGCGACCCCTCCTTGGGTTCCCAAGGTGGTATTTCTCCAGAAGTAGATCGCCCAGTCTTACTTGGGGGAAGAATCATTAACAACCTGAAATACGCTGATGATACAACTTTGCTTGCTGAGAGTGAGGATGACTTGAAGCACTTACTGATGAAGACTGAAGAATACAGTCTGCAGTATGGATTACGTCTCAATATAAAGAAAACAAAAATCCTCACAACTGGACCAATAAGCAGCATCACAATAAATGGAGAAAAGATTGAGGCTGTCAAAGAATTCAAATTTCTTGGTTCTACAATTGATGCCAGTAGAAGCAGCGGCCAGGACATTAGACGACGTGTAGCACTGGGCAGGTCGGCTGCGAAGGAACTGTTTCAAGTGCTGAGGAGCAAAGATGTCTCCTTGAGGACTAAGGTGCGCCTGACACAGGCCATGATATTTTCAATCACCTGGTATGAATGTGAGAGCTGGACAATGAATAAGGAAGGCTGAAGAGGAGTTGATGCTTTTGAGTTGTGGTGCTGACGAAGAATGCTGAAAGTACCATGGACTGCTAAAAGAACTAACAGATCTGTCCTGGAAGAAGTGCAGCCAGAATGCTCCTTAGAAGCGAGAATGGCCAGACATCGTCTCAGCTACTTTGGTCATGTTGTCAGAAGGGGCCATTCCCTCGAGAAAGATGTCATGCTTGGTAAGGTGGAGGGTTGATGAAAGAGGGGAAGGCCTTCAACAAGATGGATTGACATGGTGTCTGCGACAATGTGCTCAAGTATAGCAGGGATCATGGAGCTGGCACAGGGTCAGGCGGTGTTTAGTTCTGCTGTTCCATGGGGTTGTATGAGTCAGAAACAACTTGACAGCACCTAACAACAGCAACAACCTTCTGAGGAGTGTGGCTGGTGGGTCTGAACTGCCAGCCTTCTGGTTAGCAGTCAAATGCCTTGGGCACTATGCCACCAGAGCTCCTTAGCCAAGTGCATTTCAGCAAGTCACCCATTTCTGAGAAAGTGATAAAGGGTATGCATATCAAAAATTGCTGATAAATCAAATTAGGGGATTTTACAACTTTTCCTGAATAGAAATGAAAGCAAAATCTGATAATACGGGAATCTGAAAGCATACAGATGAAAAGAAATAGTGGAATTAAATTTTTTAAGGCAGATAAAGTAAAAACTAAATTAAAATTATTACTTATGCCAATAACAAGAAAAGTATCTAATGCTAAAAGATGACACCCATAAGCAAAAAATTTCTTTCCAATTCCTAAATCTGTTTGAAAAATAGTGCTTTCCTTGAGGAATAATAATATTTAACCTAGCATTTTTTTCCCTAAAATTTTTCCTAAGTCTTCAGTAATTTATGTAAAAGATTTATGAACATTTGACAGACACATTATATTATTACACAAAAAAATAATTACCCTAAAGTCTTTTATTTTTTTCACAAAATAAGCATTTTTAAAAGTTTTGATTAAAAATGTACCTTTACATATTGGTTATATAGTTGTGATTGACACTTCGGAATTGTGTACTTTTCTGTATATACATGTTGTTGTTGTTACATGTCGTTGAGTTCACCCTGACTCATAGCGACCCCTCATTCAGTTTCCAAGGCAGTATCATTACAGAAGTAGATTGCCCAACCTTCCTTCTGAGGACTGGCTGGGGGTTTGAACCGCCAGCCTTCTGGTTAGCAGTCAGGTACCTTAGGTACTATGCCATCAGAGCTCCCCTGTATATACACAGTAATACGTAAATAGTTTTAAAAAAACACACAAACCTATTTTCAAACACTCAAGTAAATATTTCCAATGAGTCTTAGTCCAAATAAAACAGGAAATATGTGTGCAATAAGGAAAACACTGCATATTAAAGTATGTACCACCACTAAGAGAAACATGCAGTCTATTGTCATGATGAATATACATATGGGTTAAAGATGGTGCTTTAACTCAAAATACAAGAGAACAATCTGAATCTAAATTAAAAGGTAATACAATAGAAAAAGTAGCTGCAACAATAGGAATTCTCTTTATCTGTCACAATGGAATGCTGATAATCTGCTTTACACACACAACTCCACAGGTAACGGTTGATCTTTTTCTCTCACATTATCTGGGTTCACCTAGTGACTTTCCCACCAGAATGTTCTCAGAGCAAAAGCTTTCTCTATTCAGAGCACAAGAACTCTGAGTGGGATGCTAAGGTGGAGGTATAGCTGTTTTAATTTATAAAGTACCACTATACACCAAACTAGGAGCCCTGATGGCACAGCGCCTAAGGCATTTGACTGCTAACCACAAGGTTGGTGGTTCAAACCCACCAGCCACTCCACAGAAGGAAAGAAGACTGGACAATCTACTTCAGTAAAGATTTACTGCCTCAGAAACACAAAGGGGGTTTGCTATGAGTTGGAATCAGCTTAACGGCAGTGAGTTTGGTTTGCTTTTTCTTCATACACCAAACTGCCTGGATTTTTTGGTAGATAAAGTTCTTTCTACTGGCAATTACCATAAATTAAATGTCGGTGAGAACTTTACTGGTGTCATGATCCTTAATGTTACTGTATTTGTATTTGACTGCATTGAAAACAGCACCAGCTTCATTATTTCCTGCACTATAATTAGCACTAATGGATTTTACCATAATGAGATCCCACCTGTATTTCGGATTATTTGCTTGACTTGTTTCTTTTTAGCACAGCTGAAACACAACTGCAAAGAACACCCCAGCTCTGATTACCTCTTTTGTTTGCAAGTGATTTACAGGAGAAGATTTTAAGCTCTGCTGCTGGCCAGCAAGTCCCCATGCAATCTCACTCCAGTATTTCCCCAGCACTGATCCCTCCCTCCTTTCAAACCCATCAAGTACTGTTTGTCAGGGGATAGCACTTGGCAGCAGATTTAACGGCCTATTTTCACAACGAGCAAGGTCATGCCTTTGCTGTCAGCTTCCACTGCTGAAACACTCTGCACCACATTACTCAGGATCCCATGCTTTGTAACACCAACTCTCCACATAACAATGCTGGCTCAACACAAGTTAATCCCAGCATATCCCAAAGTGTTAAGGAAGCCCCCTACAAAATAGCAGGATTAGTTTCACAAACACATTCTATCATCTGAGAAATGTAAATGCTCTTGTCAAGTTCTATGGTAATCAAATACAAGAGGATTGAAACTGCTTTTGGAAACAGACAACAGTTTTTGCCTTTTACTGTGACTGTGATGCCCAGAGTGCATAATTAGAGCATTTCTAGGAAAGCAAACATGGCCAAACCTGATGTGCTCACAGAATGAAATCTTCCCAATTTTCCAAGGCAGCAGAAAGAGCTTATTTGCATTTTTCATGCAACTGTGATTTTTAAGATGACAGGTGATAAAACAGTGGCACTCAGAAGTCATTTCATAAGGAAATTACATTTTTGCTGGTTTTTTTACTCACTACATCTTTACCTCCTGGGATGCTAGTTCTGTTTCATATAGGCCTGCCTCTCAACTTAGATTTTATCCAGGAATGTGAATTGCTAAGGAGTCACCCATGAATGCACAGCTGTGCATTGTATACTTCTGTATAATTGGTGCCACCTCCATCAAGTATTCTTTACTCTTAAGCAGCTGAGAAGATAGGCAGGGTGCCACCATTTTCTCATTTTTTTCTTTTCTAATACGTCTCATCTCTGTAATATACTAGTTGCATCACTAATAGCATATATACCACTTTTTAAAATAGGAGGAAACAGAGCCAGCTACCCTGAGGGAGCGAGTAGTTGGACTTGTGGGCTTGGGACCATGGTTGCGGGGACATCAAGCTTCTTGGCATAACATACTACACAAAAACATTGTTCCATATCCTACTTTGGTGAGCAGCAATGTCTTAAAAGCTTGCAAGGGCCACCTAAATGCAATGATGGATCTCTCCTTGTCCAGAGCAAAGAAGAATGAAGAAAACCAAAGATGCATGGAAATAGTTAGTCCAAGGGACTAGTAGACCATGCAATCCCCAACCTATATGACCATGAGACCATGCCCAGCTACCACTGTCAACCACTCGGAGGGGAATTGGTGTAGAAGATCTTGGATAGAGTAGGAGAATGATGTGGAACAAAAAAAGAAAACCAGGTTTGCTGGTCTGATAGAGCCTGGTGAGACCCTGGGACTATGGCCCCTTATTACTCTTCAGGTCTAGAACTGAACTCACTCCTTTGGCTTCCAGCCAAACAAAAGACAGGCATATGGGGTAAACATCTACATCAGGCAGATACACTCCTTGGAGTGACCAATCATGGGGGAATATAAGGGCTGTGTATGCACAGGGAGACAGCTTAGAGGGCAGGAGTGCATGGGAGGGAAGGACACAGGGAAGAGGTAACTCTAGGGAGAATGTGGGAGGAGAGCTGTTACATTGTGGGGAACTGCAGTCAATGTCATGAAACCAAATGTGTATGAATTGCTGTATGGAAAATGAATTTGTAAACTTTCACCCAAATCACAATAAAAATTTAAAAATAAATAAATAAAATAGAAAGAAAAAGAGTCGGAGAACAGCCAACCCATGTTAATCAACCAACAAAAAGAGGTAAAAAAGCAAGTCTCTTCCCCAAGACAGTTTAGAATAAGCCCAAAGAAAGCTAAGTGTGAAACCCCATCACATCTTCACAAGAACATAATAGAAAATCCAAGCAGCGCAATTTCAAGAGAGCTCAGGAACTTCTGGATCTTGCTCAGAAGGGAAAAGCAGCTCAGCAGACCCTTTTATAGAGAGTAGGTAGACAACTCAAGCACACATTCAAAGGGCCTTAGGTTTGAAATCAAGAAACACTTCTATGACTCACAGCCAACTCGAAGCCTTCAAGTAAGCCATGAATCCTTGGGTGCAGCTACACTTCAAACATGCTACTCTTTGGGAAAGCCACCCCAGGGAGCCTCGAGGGAGGTTCACACCTACCTGGTCACATCCTGCATTCACCAGCTCCTGTAGCATTTGTCGATTTACTTCTGCAGCACCAGAGGTACCCGATTCGTTAGCAAAAGGCAACAAGGAATATCTGATTTCCCGCAAAGCTTTCTGGTAAGGTCCAAACTTTGGGGTGGCTCTCATCTGCTGCTGCTGCCTGGCAGAGTCCTTGCCCCCGAGAACCTTGGTGTCCAGGGTAGGGTCATTGTTTGGTCCCACGGGTAACCCCTGAGCTGAAGATTTGGACGGTTGCTTTAACCCTTCCCGAATCTCCTGTAGTCGCTGCCTGCTATTTCCAGAATAAGCTGTGGTAGGAAAAGTCTTTGGCCTCATTGTTAGTCCAGTTTCCGTTTACTATAAATACAATCTTCTTAAAAGTGTTTTATTATTATTTAGAGGGAAAAAAAAAAACTGTCAATATCAGTTAGTTGTAAACAAACTTTTTCAAAGCAACTTCTTTTTGAAAATTTGCTTTCCTTCAATGTTCGGTGTTCCTATAGGGAACCTAAAATTTTCCAGAGTCTTCATTTTGAAGAGCATCACTATCTGAAAAAGAAAACACATAGAACAGAAATGTTCATTTGTTGTTTTCATGTATTGTTAATACTCCTCAGAAACAGACAGTGACCCTGAAGTATTGCATTTGGAAAGAATAAGAACAAACACATTATCTCTCAGAAATGACAAAAACACAGTTCAACTCTGGTTAGAGAGCATGACTAGGGACAGCCTAGGAACTAAAATGTAATCAGCAATAAATAAATCTACACAAGCTGCTATCAGCTTATAAACAGTCAACTCAAGGCAAGAACAGTGGTATTCACAAATGACAGCTTGTTTAAAATGATTCATTACAGGAAAAAAATTAAAGACACATAGAAACAATTAGTCTGAGGGACTAATGGACCACGTGAACATCAACCTACATGATCCTGAGACTAGAAGAACTAGATGGTGCCCGGCTACCACTGTCAACCACTTGGAAAGGGATCAGTGGAGGAGCTCCTGGATAGAGTAGGAGAACAAAGTGGAACAAAATTCACAATCATAAAAAAGACCAGCATTATTGGTCTGAGAGAGCCTGGTGAAACCCCCAAGACTATGGCCCCTAGTCACCCTTCAGGCCTGGAATTGAACTCACTCCTGTGTCCTTCCAGCCAAACAACAGACAGGCTTAGAAGGTGAACATTTACACCAGGTAGGTATATTCAGAATAATCGATCATGGGAGATAACAAGGGTAGTATTTTATTTTATTTTTAATTGTGATTTGGGTGAAAGTTTACAGAGCAAATTTGCTTTCCATCCAGCAGCTCAAATACACTTTGTCTCATGACACTAACTACAATTTACCACAATGCAACAGCTTCCCTCCCACTTCCTCCCCACAGTTACCCCCGAGCCGTCTCCCTGTGCATACACAGCCCTTCTATTCTCCCATGACTGCTCCCTCCAAGGAGTGTATCTACCTAATGTAAATGTTCACCTCATATGCCTGTGTTGTTTGGCTGGATGCTACAGGTTGTTGTTATGTGCTGTTGAGTTGGACCAGATTCATAGTGACCCCTCCTTGGGTTTCTGAGGCAGTATCACTACAGAAGTAGATTGCCCAACCTTCCTTCCGAGGAGTGGCTGGTGGGTTTGAACCACCAGCCTTCTGGTTAGCAGTCAAGTGCCTTAGTGGGTTCAATTCCAGACCTGAAAGGCAGCTAGGAGCCATAGTCTTCAGTGGTTCCATCAGGCTCCATCAGACCAGCAAACCAGGTCCCTTTTTTCTTTTAAATGATTTTGGGTTTTGTTCCACATTGTTCTCCTACTCTAACCAGGATCTCCTACACAGATCCCCCTATAAGTGGCTGACAGTGGAGCAACTAGGCACCATCTAGTTTGAAGAAGGGCAATATTTACACGGGGAGATAGTGCAGAGGGCAGGAATGCATAGGAAAGAACACAGGGAAAGGGTACCCACAGGGAGGAAGGGGGAAGACAGCTGTTAAAGTATGGTGATTACAATCAATGTGAAACAAAATGTGTATTAACTATTGTATGGAAAATGACTGCTCTGTAAATTTTCACCCAAATCACAATTAAAAAAAATAAAGTCATTATTATATAATTTCATTTTGAAATCCACAGCTTGAGTATTTAGGGTTAAATCATCTAGATAGGGTCTTGCATTTCAGGCTTGTTCCTATTCATCAATCTCGATTCCCAATCCACTGTTGTACCTTATCCCTGTTGCCATACTAACCTCCAACCCATCCCAACCTGAGGTCCTTCCACATCTTTGAAATTTCTCTATAAATTCTTCCCAGTCTTCCCGAAAGACCTCACCAAACATGTCATCTTAAAAGTCTTATATTGCAGTTAAAAGCAGTCCCAACACAATGCGTCATAAGACTTTGACAGTAACTACTTCCTTGGTTTTCTTACAAGGTAGGCGCTTCCCATCAGCATTTCGACCTGAATGGAACGGAATTGGTAAAAGCACGCGGGTGACTTCACTCTTAAGAGTCCACTGTACCCACACTAACAACACAAGACTTGTAATAGGGGTACCCACACTAACAACACAAGACTTGTAATAGGGGAAAAGAGACCCCAGACTCACACAGATTCAACAAAGATAATTTTATTAAGCCTTGAACAGGACAAAGACAAAACAAAGACAATCATCCAGGATGAGGGAAACCATCAGCATGCACACAGCATGGA